CAGGAGCACATTTGGTGCTGCCAGTGTCAAAGCCATTAACGGTGCCATTCTTTCTTTTAGGAGGGCTTTGTTAAATTCTTCCATGTAGAGGACCTTGAAGGCAGCATCAGAAACATTCTGGTGGCTTTTGCAAGCGTGGCTGGCATAGGAGCAAGCTTGGCTTACTTGATCCGGTGAGCCAGAGAGTGCTCTCCAAGCGTGCTGTGAGTAGAAAACTGACCTATTCTCCCCTCTGGATGGGAGGCAGGACCACCTGGACATCCCCGGAAGGACTGAAATGAACTGTCCGTGATAGAAGGTAACCCAGCGAGGATGTCTTACAAATGGGAGTAGGTTTTCCAAGTGAAGAAACATGCACTCTGCTTCCACAAGAAGCGACACGCTACGAAGCTAAGAGGACTGAAGCCCTGTGCAGTATGTGGTCTTGGTCCTGGACTGAGGTGTGGCGGCGTTGGGCCGGGGATAAAGACTGTCAGATGCACTGGGTAGTTTGCACAGGGTGATGATCGTGCCTGAACTACCATCTGAAGAGTAGCGTTAGGTCTGAAGTACAAGATGTTTGGTCCGGTGTCCTCATAAAGACTTCCAGGGGATCTCTGGGAATGCCTTTAAGTGTTGGTGGGTGCACTGTCCACCGCTGAGAGGAAAGGCCTGGCATCCTTCAGACTCTCACCAACTCATTGTACTCTCTCTGAAGGGCTGACCGTGTTCTTTTTTCGTTTTTCTTTCTACTGCCCTCCCTTTGAAAGCGTTACACTGCCATTAGCCCCCTGGATGACATAAAGCTGCTCCGTGCAAATATGTATGAAACTTCATGGGGAAGTCATTTGGAACTGATGTAAATACCTGTTTGAAACTGTACAATCTGTACACTCTTAAAGAGCTTTATCTTTGGGAAAAGTTGCAAAAGAGTTTTTAATATGATTCGATTTGGATTTCGTGACTCTTTATTCTTCCCCCACCCACCACTCACCTGCATATACTGGGCATTTCAGAAAACCTTTACATCCAAGTTAACAAGGTTATGGCTTAGTGGAGAAATGTGACTATAGTTACCAGCAGGGTATTTTGAAAACCCCTTTTTTGAAATCTTTCCCTGTCCTCTTTTGGGAAGAAAGGAGCCTTTTGACATTTGGGGTTTTTTCAATCACCCTGTTTTATTTTGACTCTCAGTTTCTTTAAATCATTTTATTTTAAGAGCTAAACTTGCACATGAATGTCATTTGTCTGTAAGATTAAAATAACTTCAGTAAATTAGCAGTGCAAGAGATACTGTGGTACACAGATAAATTCTCATTTGTGGGCAGGCCTTCTGGGTGCCTTCCAGATGTTTTGGCCTAGACATATCTGGAGGGTACCAGATTGCCTTTCCCTGATCTAAATCCTTGAGGGTGAAACAGTTCATAAGCTGAATTTCCTTGATTTTTTTTTTTTATTCTGGAGAATGGCTTCAGTTAATAGGAGCAAGAGTTTTAATTTGCAGTCTAGAATTGCTTTTAGTCTTCACTGTGCCATCAGTCTAAACCAGATTATGGCAGAAGTAAAAATCCTGGCATGGTGCTAAGGCAGACCTGCTTGTTTATGTAAACTGTCTAATAAAACCATTCATTGATTTTTGCAATGTGAGGGCCTTCTATTGAGTCAGAAACCTGAAATGTGTATTTTCATCTTATATCTGTGACTAAATGATTGTCCCTTGTTCTTTTTTTTTTTTCCTTTAACTTGTTGCCATGCAATTCATAGGTAGATGTGGCTAGAAACCCTGGGCTGGCTGGCTTTTTTCTGTGAAGATGTAGAGGCAGGGTGCCTTGTAGAAAGCCACAGACCACTCCCCGTGACCAAAATCTTCCCCCTTAAAGGTAGAACTAGTTAGCTTCACAAATGAGACTAAGCTCTGTTTCTTCATTGAGGGTGATCTGTATTCTGGGTTTGGCCCAGGGGCTGTCTGATCCTATGACTTGCCCTCTAGGTCGGTGCATTTTTTCCAAATGACTGTTCTGTGTGTGTGTGTTGAGGTTGCTAAAAAGGTATTACAATGATGTGCAACAAAAGTAAATACTTCACACAGGCTAAGCATCTGTCTGTCTAGGGGCCGGAAGTGTGGTTATAGAAAGAAGATTTGAGAGAAGGATATGGAAGTATTTTCACAGGGCTAACAGAACGGGCCTATTGCAATGCCTTATGAGGGGGTTTTCTGGCAGAATATGCAAACCTTTTCCTTGGAAATATGCAAAGTGGCCCTTCTGCAAAGTTCTGTGTATAAACAATAGTGCAGTATGTGAGTGTCAGAAGTGGATTTCTGATTTGACTAAGTAGGTGGTGTCTGAGGTTCCCTATTTTCACATGAGCAGGAAATATATTTCAAGTGGGAGGGGAAATTTGATTGCACTGCCCTGTCCCTTTCCACTGTCACATTCAACAAAACTTGACTCAGATGCCAGTGGCTGTGAATCTATTCCATGAAAATCCAGAGGAAACATTGGCGTTTTATATTTTAATAGGGCCGTGAGCCTGGATACATTCTGACTTCCTGGCAGATGAGAACAAGGCACAACCCGTGTGTGTTGTGTTTTCATCATAGATCTTCTTGGCTGCAAGAGTACTTGGTTAACTTCTCCTTTTGCTGTAGGAAGGAAAGGAACAGTCACATTTAGCAAAGGCTAGAGAGATGTTTATTCTGAAGACGTGGGCTGAA